AGTTGAAGAAACAAGCAAGCAACTGTGCTTGTCGAGCAAAAATGATATTAGATACAATTCAATGGCTTTTTTGATTCGAAAAGCTGCAGGGCAATCCCCATAGGACGAGCTCCCGCCAAAAGTTTGCTGTTACAACTTTCAAGTTTATCTCTTTCTAATCATAGATTAATTATTTCTCCTCCGTACATCACGATCTACATACGCCGTTAACGCCCACAACTGCATTTTGGATTGAGCGCACTGAAATGCAAACCTAGTTCAAGTAACTGCGTATCAATTCTCTGAGCTGGATTCCCTCTGTCGCGAAGCAAACTATGGAGTGTCTAATTTAGACGGAAAACCGAGTCAAGATACCCTAGATTGCTGGAGTCGACTGCCCTGCTGATGTCCACTTTGTCTGCTTGTGTGAGAAATCGTGGACAAAGGAGCAGACGGGGGAAGGGCTCCACGAATCATTCGCAGAATAGTTGCGTTTTTCGCCGAGCATTGTCTTTGGTTGCATGGAAGCCTGCTGCAGCAATGAATTGTCTTCAGCGGAATGCCGTCTTACTGCTGCAAGATTCTGTTTGGATGAAATCTCGGGAATCAGCTCCCAGCAACTAAACGTGGGGGCAGAAGCGGGAGCCAATCCTGAAGGGCTGCAGTGCTGGTTGCTACAGACCTGCGCAGACGATGGTCCTCCTGATACTGCTCTACTGCAGCTGTGCCTCTGCGGAAAAGGCTCGGAAAGTAAGTTGGCAAGCAGTAGAAGTTTCTGTTGTTGGCTTTGCTGCTCCTGGTTTGCCAGCTCATCCGTGAATTTAACACGGCGGCCAGTATCTGCTTCAAATCCACTTGCTGCTCGGGGATCGCCCTTGTACAGGGTAGGTAGTAAAGGTGCCGATATTCCCAGCCCGGCGTTTTGCGAGACCCAATGCCACCAGGGTTGCCTGGCAGCATAATCACACTGCTGCAGTTTCTCGTCAAGGGGCTGCCCAGACTTGTTCTGGCTTGCCAGTGTTTGTCGGCTCCGAAGGTTTGACTGCGTCCCTACTACTCTCAGGACCCTCTGCCGCCTCGTGCGATTTTCTGGCGCTTTTGACCGCTGTTGTCGTTTTGTATTAAGTATTCCTGAAGACGGTGCTGAAGCAAAGGAAATCGTATCGCCGGGGCTGGACGTCTGACCCCCCTGAGGCGCCCCGACACCTCCCCCAGCAACCAGTCCAATGAGGCTCTGTTGCAAACACTCACGGAGGTGTATCTCGCTATTCAGTTGCTGCTGAAGGTTTCGAAGTTCCTGTTGTTGCCTCTGTGTGCTTTCTAGGTGCGCTTGTCCAAGTCGTTGCATCTCTTGCTGGAAAAACCTCTGAGCTCGCTCAATCTGTTGCTCGACCGTGCGCCTTGCAGCTGCTGCCCTCCAGGGCAGAAATGTCCGCAGCTGTAACATGAACAAACGGCGCTGCTGCAGAGCTTGCTGAAGCTTCTTGAGCCTTCCCGTGAGCACTCGCTGCAGCTGCCATCCTTTCCACGCAAAGCGCAGCAGTTGAGAACCCTCCTCCGTGCGCCTCCTCCTGCAGGAAATCTCCAGTATTTTCTCCAGCCTTTCGTGTTCCTCCACTTTCTGCGCTCTCAGAGAAACTAGCTCCGCTTCAGCAGCAGCAAATCCCACCTGGTGCTCTTGTTGCAGCTGCAGCCGCAAGTGCCGTTCGTGCTGCAGCTCCCTCCAAAGCTTCTGCTTCACAGAAGCTTGCGAGCTAGCGAAACACCGAGCAGCTTCTCTTCGCAAGAGCCCTAGGGAGTGTTGTAGCAACAGGGAAAACTGGTGCTCTTCCTCTCCATGGTAAGCCTCGGACGCGCAGTCTAGCCCCACGGTTTCAACCCTGTGTGTCCCATGCGCAAGCAGAGGCAATTCTGGTGAGCGTCGGTGGCTTTCCCAAGGAATTCCATCTGGAATACTGGTTGGAATGGCCGTGGCTTCCTCCGAAAGCGTGGTATGTATTTCCTGTGTGGACTTTTTGGCTCCTGAATTGTTGCTGGGAGTGCTTCCTGCTGCGACTGGACTGCAAGTATTGCGGCAGGGCAGCACCTCGCTCCCCTGAGAAACACCACTAACTGTCGGCTCATTGCTTGGTCCATTCACAGGCAAATCGAGAAGAATAGGGTCCATAATATAGTGACGGTTGACAATCTGCTTTTGCCCGGTTGTGTCATTGCCCCTGTCAGCCCTCAACACTGCTTTGGTGGGGGAATTTTGCTGTGGTGGTTGCAGCGGAGTTTCTTGAAACCTGCTGCTTCGAGAAACATCTGAAGAATGAGGTAATTTTCGTCTGCTTCTGGCCATTGCCGTCGTCTTTGGAGCGGGTAGGAAGCGTCGGGTGAAGGCAGAGCTTTGTCTTTGAGGGAAAGCTAGAGAATTCGTTTCTGGAGTTGAAGGTGATACCGACTGGAGAAGTTCGGTTGCTGCGCTTCCCGATCTCCTTATTCGGTATTGCTCTGAGGTCTGAAATATTCTGCTGCCATTATCTGAAGGGCTGCTGTCGAGACCCTCTTCTGCGGCAGCTGCCAAGCGGAGGCTCGATGCGCCCAGAGCCGCAACGAGACAAGCTAATGATGAGTTATACGGCATCGCTTTGACTGTTGTCCCCTCTGTTCCCTCTTGAGCAGTCCTCTGAGCCGTTCGCATAAGCGGTAGAGTGCCTTTGAGGGATACATTATCTTGGTTGAGACGTGTTTGCTGCTGCATGGCCGAGCTTTGCTTGTCCAGTACACTCCCCACACCAGGTGCAGGAACGACTGGGTCCGTAGACTTGTATGTACCTGCTAAAGAAACAGGAGAGGACGCTACTTGCAATGGTTTCCTCCTAGCAGTCCCTGCATCACCTTGTGCAGCAAGTTGTTGTGTTTTTTCTAATGTCGACGGAGCGGCAGAGACTCCTACTTTTTCGCGTGAGGGATCTCTAAAGGGTGCATCAGCCACCTTTGTGGTTTCAGCTGTTGTCGTAGATGCTGTTGAAGGAGCTGAAGGCAAACTAGCAGCACCCTCTCTTGATGTTGCAGCCTGCTCCTTCGGTGCTGTTTTGGTTATCTTTGAAGAAGCAGCGTTGGATGAAGGCCTCCCGTGGTTCGGGAGATCCGGCTTTACCAAGGGATTGAGGAAGGGAGGCACGCGCATTGTGGAACGCGGTTCCATAGGCTTTTCCCTGAAATTCGGATTGCCAGGCACCATGAACTCTGTACTCGCCAGAACAACCGGTGATTCCGAGCGCGAATCGCGAAACGATGCTGACGACGGCTTCTTGGTCAAGCAATTGGCCGCGCTGTCATGCAGCGGAGGTGATGTGGAGGGCCTAGCGGAAGACCAGTCTTGTATGTCTGTCTCCAGCATCAGCATTTTTTTCTAAAGGAGAGTGATACTTGAGGAGCTCAAGGTGAATATGTCAAGGCCATTTACTAAGCAGTTCTGAGCCGATTGCACCCGCATTTGCTCCATCACGCTTAGTGCAAACATACTATCATATTACCGGTTTTGGGGCGTTTCCCTCTGATTTTGATCGGCTCTTTGTAGGCAGACTACGCTCCTCCCTCATCAGCCGAGGGCTAATGATTCAACGTGCTACAGTTAGTAAGTTCGGTCGTGAGATATTTCTTCAATATACCTAGTGCAATTGTGGGGCGCACAGGCGCTCAGAGTAAGTGTCTGTTTGGATTGACTCTCCGATGGTGGGGTTCACCGGACACCGAGCCACAACACCTACAACCGTCGGCTTTGATGCAAGAGAAACTTCCAAAACTAGGTGTATTTGCTTCTTCTTTAGCATCGTACGTATTTATTATGTTGAAGCGTTAAAGTGCAGGATGACGGCCTAATCAGAAACTTTCTCTGCATCGTCGACGTGTGCGGGGTCACCTACTAGTCCAGCGGCCCCTCACCACCATTCTTCAGGCCCACCCGGCAACTACTCATTGTCTGACGCACACAGAAGAAATAAAAGAATCTTAATGTCGTATTGTCTTAGAAAGCGTTAGCGCCGTCATTAGGGTTCTCCCAGTAGCTAGGTACTCGGAGCTTGTCTGGCGTAAATTACGTCGGCAGCGTCTCCTCTGCGTGGACATTGAGCAGGCGAAAATATCTAGAAAACAATGGGCGATCTGTTCACGTTACCCCACACTGGCTTGTTCCATGTTTTTGGGTCTGAAAAATAGTCCGACGACAATTCACCGACGAAACGGGGAGGCAGTCCGCTACTTCGCTCTCGGTCTTGCTAGGCATACAGGCCTTGCCTGCCACGGGGTGGCATGAATGACCTGTGGGTTTGCTGGAGTTCATTGACTCCCCAACGTTTTGATTAGCTGCATGGCTGGCCCTTTAAGAGAAGGAGAGGCAAGTGCACGTTAGTGGCACTGTCTTAGAATCGATCTCAACGCCGCTCAAACTTATGCACATTCCCCGCAGCTACTGCTGGAGAGCACCTACGATGAACTCTGCGCTATCCGTCGCTACCATGAAGGCAGCCAGCAACTACCACACGGTTCTACTTCAGAGCCGAAAATGCCGCAAGAAGTCACGACTCGGCATACTGCTGACAGCGGCAGTTGCAGCATTTGCCATTTCAACTGCGCAAGACGTAAATGGTTTTACAGTCGAGGAGGCATTATTTACAGGTTTGTGCACGCTTGATACCCTGAGTCTTTGGTTATCGTCTGCTTGCCACTACCCAAAAAGAGGAACGTCTAATTTGACAACAAGTTGGCACCATGCTTCCGGGAAAAGTACTATGCTTTACGCGCGTTAATCCTTGAGCATGGGGAGTGCCTACAGAAAGGAACTTTGCACTTCACGTACCTACGAGCTCTACCCATATCACGTTTCCGGAAAACAGATTCTAAATGGGTTCCTCCCGCGGTAGACATCGTTGCTGAATACCAAATATACTTCTGACACTCTGCTTTTTTTGCTTTTTTCATTCCTGCACGATATGTACAGCGGGTGGAGGAGAAACAAAGGAGTTAGGCAGGTCACACGCCCCTACGCAAGAAGGCCTCGCGATGGCATTTGCTGAAGCAAATCAAGAAAATGCAGATACTACCACTCCCAATGAAGAACCTGAAAATCCAGATGAAGGGGATAGTGACACCGATGACAGTGAAGAGGAGTTGCCCCCTCTATCCCCGACCGTAGAGAAATTCGACGAGGCGATGAAACGCGCCTGCTCGCCGAGCATAAAAGAAAGCCTCTTCAAAGACCTGGAGCAATCAGTGAGTTGCTTTAGGTCTCCACATATCCGATTTTGAAAGCCCGACAAGGAGAAAAGCGCTAGTTTCATGGGCAAGGCACAACAGAGCTACCTCAATCTGCTATCAAGGGAATCGAGGGGCCTGCAGNTGTTACATCTGAAAAGGTTCTCGACGCAATGGGGGTTATGGACCGCTGGATGAATAGCGTATTAGGAGCAATGACAACTCTCGAGTCAGATTCAACAGCTCTGTACGCGTATCTATCAGGAACGGGGAGTTTGACTGATGTCATCAAAAGCAGTTGCCTCTTCGGCTTGTCCATCCTTGCAGGTATCCTCGTGGCTTTTGCATACATACTATGCTGCCTCCCAAAGCTCTGCTGCAAATACCTGCGGCGCTTGTGTTGCTGTGCAAAGTGCTGTTGTGGACAGCTCAAGCTTTGCTCACGACTTGTGGGTTCCATAGTTGTTGCAGTGGTGACGTTGTTAGGCATCATATTTGCTTGCCTCGTTATAAGTTACCAAAGACAAGGCGTACAAGGTGCCAAGCAGGCGTATTGCCAAGCATATGTCTTTACTGATGAAATACTTCGTGGAAGTGCATCACTGGGTACAAACGATACTCGAGCAGATGCGCCGTTACCGGACGAATTTGAAGGATTACTGCCTTTGGTTGAATCTGTGGAAACTTTGGCGCTGCTGGTCGATGGAACGAATCCGAACAATATTCTTGAGTTGTCCAAGCAGGCGGCAACTAACGCGCTGGATGTTGTCGCACTAACTGACGAGATGGAAAATACCATAAAATTTGTTTCCGATTCATGCATCTCTTTTTATGCAAGTAACTCGCTCTCTGGGTGTTCCCACAAATCCCTGTTTTGTGATCTTCGCAAAAGTCAAAGTTCCGCCTCGGGGCTGGTCAGCATTGAAAAGCGGATGAGCGCCTCAGCTAAGGAAATCATTAAACTGGAGCCTAAGAAATATGTGGACGAGTTATTTGACGGGGTGACGCTTCCAGCTCTAAACATAGAATCGAGCTTCCCCACTGAGAGTGTCAAGAAGCTATTTTTTACTGTCTTTGACGTCCTAGGAGAATCTGAGGAAACAGTCTCAAAGGTGTTGGGATGGCTCGAAGTCGCTCTTTGTGTAGACTGTGCTATTTACTTGGCCATCCTGTTGATGGTAGTCCTCTGGCTTGCTTGGTTTTTCTTCCGAGGAAGGAAGACTCAAAGCTTAATTCCGGCGATCTTCTGGAACATCTTAGCGTTGATGGCTGTTATACTTCTGGTAGTTGGTGGTCTCTTAGGATGGACCACGACGCTTGGTAGGCAAGGTTGTTCCATTCTGATAAACAATTGCTTAGAACAAGACCAATGGGACCTGCTTTCTGACTACGCGCCCGTTGTTGAGCCGCTAATATCCCAATGCCTGACAAAGGAAGGAGATGGAGATTTGCTCGCTGGAGTCGGGGTGGACGCGGCTTACGACGAAATGCTTGGCACACTTCAAGAGACACTTAATGGCTTCCCCACCAACATAAGTCCTCTGGATAAGGACACATCGAGTACGGATCCGACTTGACTCGTTTTACGATAATCTACCAAGGAGCGATTATGCACATGAGTTCGCAAACTTAACAATACAGGGTAGTCTCCTTGTGTTAGCTGCTGCAGTAGTCTCCTTACGTTCGGTGCTGCAACTATTATGTTGTCCCTGTACGTAGAACTGGCTGAGAATTATCTCAGTGAGGCAACCGTGCGTGGCTCTATGGTGGTTGCCGACCCGGATTCCGTACCTGAGAGCAGAAAGAAAGTCTTCCCCGAATTTTTGAAGGTGATTCTAGCTTTATTTCCCACTGGAAGGCTTTCATGTTCCCTTAGCTTTGTTATGCTTAGCAGTAGAGTAACCACAAACATCCGTGTTTTCACGCCATAAGGGCATTTTGACGGGCTAGGCTTTTCTCTTCGCACGCATATGAGCGTATGTTTGCACGCTCACATCTCACGTCAAAGCGTTAAAAGACTTTGTTTAGTGTTTCGTTTGTCTGTAAATATTTAGGTCGTCCGATATCCTTAACGACCGAACTTAGTCTCCATAACTGTATACGCACAGTGGCCCTTGCAGTGGCAAGTATTTCTTTTGTATCTTTTGAACAACTCACTTCTGCCTTTTATCCAGAGTGGTATGCAACTACTGGACGCGGAGATAGGGGGAGAAACCATCTACGGACTTGAAACACTCGAAAGCCTTGTTGCTCCATGGAAACTGTCCGCTCTTCATCCTGATGAGGCGGCAGACGGAGAGTTCATTGTGAGGGAAGACAACCCAAACGAAGCAGACCCTAACTTCATCAAGTGGCTAGAAGACCTTAAAGAGCGGAAGGTAGGTAACTCAAAACGTTTGTATCCATGACGTTGGGAAGGGACGGTGGCTTTGTTGCGTTTTCAAAAACGCATGTTGCTTCACCCAATAGTGGCAACGTGCGCCATTCTACGTCTCTGTTTGCATGGCCACCTATTCGTAAGTGTACCTTACGATACAAGGCTTGTAGTGCCTTCTTCGCTGTGTCCATAGATTTGTGCATGTGACAGTCGTCTTGCGCATCCGTAGGATGGTTCACTTTTTTGAATGGGCAAGCACAGACCTCCCATTTTGTATACCTCCCTGTCGAAGTTTTCCATTTGCTTAGTCCTGTCGCCAATCTAGTACACTGTGCAAGTTCAGGTGTAGCAGTTCGGGTGCAGAAGTATGCACTACACGTATCTGTGCATGGTATAGATTGAAGAGCTCACTGCAGATGGATTGAGCCAAGAGAAAGCAGAAGCAGAGTCCGAGCTCTTCAAGGTGCGGACGAAAAATGGCCTTTGGTGGCTCCAACAAAAGCAGAAAGTGCTGGATTTGGAGTATAAATGCGAGCGCGAAGATGGCACGGTGGACGTTTGTGGGTTCGCTGAAATGTTTGGACTCAAGGAGGAGGAGCAGCTTGCCTCCTCTATGTACAATAATCAGCGTGATGTTGCGCAAACATGTGAGGCAAGCCGCCGTCCAACTTCAGACACTCACCTCCTTTACTTGTGTTTTCGACGCAAGTATGCCCAGTGCCAATTAGTGTAAGTTGCGCCGTGCCAGAACTGTACAAAAAACGGAAGCCGTGGCACGATTGACCCTGCCGAAATTCACCTCAACCAAATTCCGCTGTTCGCTCTTATTGTGGTGCTGCGACATGCTGCCTAGACTTACGGATCTCCTCGTGCTTCGTCAACGCAGGTAGGCCTACCTCTTGCGAACTTTCCCCTACGGAAGCACAAACCTAGCCTTTCCATCACGACGACAGACTAAGCTAGCACCATTACATTTCTCTTCCGATTCATTGTTGCTTTGATTCCCTTTTTACTGTTTGCAGTGACTGACTCAATTGGCGTGATTAACGAGAATGTTATTTTTCCTCTGGAACGCCTCAAGAAATCTTTAAACTGCCGCTTCCTTCGGCGTAACATTGTTCAAATGGCCGCTGTAACTTGTGAATCCACCGTCTCGAACTTTTATTACGTGCGCCCGAGCCCTTCCAGCTCTCTGTTACCAATGATATGTTAATAGATGTCAGGCCTAGGTGATTTTGCAGAGCATCAGGTGCTGCACGATTCCCTGAAACGCATCAGCTGTTGCATCCATTCCACCGTTGTTCTCTCTGTTTCCCTTCAGGTAGCTATGTACAGAGCACTCGGCGGTGGGATCGCTTGTTTGGTTGTCCTAGCTCTCTTCATGTTTTGGAGCAGCCTCAAAGGAGACAAGTCCGCTGAACGAGTTGCAGGCTCGAATGCGTAGAGGCAATGCAGGTGCTTCGCAATCATCTGCATGGGTACGCTGTGTGGCCAGCGTTTGTCAATGTTCCTTATGGCACTCACAAAAGAGGCGGCACTCACAAAAGGGGTGGCTTTCCTACGCCTCGGTACAGCTCTACAAGGTTTGCGTTGTTCGCAAATTTGAAAAAAAATATCTCCAGCTGTTGAGCTGGACAATGTCATTTCATTGTGGGGAACCTGTACCAACAAGTGCCCGTGTCGAGCCTACGGACGCTCTGTATATGCTGTGCTACCGGAAAGCACACGTACATACAGCTATAGCTCCCCTTACGTCCAAATAAGCCAGAAAACGCCTATTCTCATTCAGTCGATGACGAAGAACCAGTCTACTAAAACGTAACAGCAACCCTTCAGGTTCAAGGCGTAAACGAGGTGCCGCCGACTTGATGCGTGGTTCGCCACACCTAACCACTTAAAGACAGACACCATCGGCTCCCTTACGGATAACCAACTAGTTTTGCCCAATATTAAATGACCATAAAGTAGGAGAACAAGCGAATTTGCAGGGGTAACCCGACGAAGAGCCCCAGCGCTTCCTGCAGGCGCGCCTGCCGGTCAGATTCTAGTCGATGCGTCAATCGCAACGCTGCGCAACTCAAATCCTCTGCCCATTCGGCTGCATAGAACCACCATACTTTGGATTCTGAATGTTTCTTTTACTTCTAAGAAAAGCAAGGAGAGGGGGCACATTTATGTACTGGAGCTGTGACCCTGACCAGCGGCGAATGGAAGTGGGAACGATAGTTTTAGACAACTACAAACTGCGCAGGCAGGAGGCTCCGCCGCATATTGACCTACCTTGTAACTGGGCTCTCAAAGAAGAGAACTGCATACCTAAAATTACGGTACTTTACTCAAGCTGCATCTTGCCCTAACCTGTTGCCTCAGTCCCGTGAGTTGCACGCCTCCACCCTAAGAGTCTGCTAGGGACGGGCCGCCTCATGACGCTAGCGTTACCAGCAATCCAACAATCCAGTGACATCTTACTCAACTAGGCCAAGAGCAATCGTTCTCTACGTCTAACTACTTCCTCGTGTGCTTGCGCTGTTCACGTGAGCTTTCTAGCATAACATCCCCGCATGCGGTCTTCCTGCAGACATCACCAAAGTTCTCCGCATACACATGAACGAAAATGCAATTTATAAACTTAAATCTGCCAGTTTTTAGCGTGTCTTGTTCTCTCAAAAGAACGTAGATCGTATATCCAGTCTGCCCGACATTGACCGCCAGGGCTCATGCCAACCTTCTCCCGCTTAGAAACCGGGTACCTTGCCACTTAAAGAAGCCTCTCCGGCGCCGAAGTCCATACTAGATCGTTCCTCCTGCCTCCAGAAAAACAGTCAATTACATCGCCAATCGCGGAAGAGTTGACCATGCTAGTTTGGGGCTTGCCCAAATGTGCAGTACTGGTACATCACGCACGCAGTCCAGTTTATTAATGTTTTGTTTTCAATGTCCGTGCAGTGAAAAATACTAGGATTTAATTTGCCACGATTAGATTGCAGCTGTATCCTTGCAGAGGTTCGTTTGAGAGCATCGCCGAACCCATCTACGCGTTGGCTTCCGTCAATTAGCAAAGTGTAATCTAGAGAGCAAAACACATGCTAGGACTATTCGAATATCCCCTACACTACGCGACGAAGCGTGGGGGTCGCTGTAACAGGAATTTAAGAAGCAGCAGCCATTTCAGAGCACTGCCCTGTAGGTACGATGGGGAAGAACGATAGTTCCAGCAGGCAAGAGAGCAGTGCATCTGCTACGCTTCTACGTTCAAGTGTAGATTCTGGCACATTTAGTGACGTGAATAATTCTTTGCCTCACTCGCACCAACACTCGAATACATTTGCCGGGCCTCCAGTGGAGTCGTTGGGAGGAATCGATCCAGCTGAGTGCCCTGTAGCAGCAAACAACTACGATGTGAAAGCAACGACGACAGGCTATGAATTACAACTGCCTGAAATTAACGAAGCCTGTGAGCCAGAAGAAGAATCGCTTGTTCCGTTTGACAGAAGACCGTCATACCTGCAAATATCCCGTCGCCTCAAAAGAATTCGCGTCTTGCCCGCCTTGCTCGCCTGCTTTTCTTCGCTAGTTGTCACTACTGCTATATGCGGAACAGAGATTGCAATCAGAGCCGTGGATATATCCTCGTCTTTAGCCCTGTTATGTTCTTCAGTCGTTGCTTGCATGTTAGCCGCCTTCGCCGCTCACAAGAAAAGTCATGTCCTTCTTGTTGGCCTCGTGATGCTAGAGGTTCTCTTTACTTTGTACTCAACAGCATTTGCGGCTGTTGGTCTAGTTAATGTGGGGCTACTACGCAAGCGCCAAGAAATTTTGGAGCAAGATGACACAATGCAGGCAGAGCAGCGAGAAAACGCCTTGAAGATTGCTCAACGCATGCTAACTGAGCAGGCAATTTTTGCTGGTTTGTATTTCTTCCTTGCAGCAGCGCATTGCTGTGCTGCAGCTTCAGTGAATCATCTGCGTGCTGCTGTCAGGCCATTCGACAGCCGTCTAAGAAGAAAGCGCCAAAGAGCAAGAGCTATGGAGAAGCTAAACGTGCGGCCTCCCCCACGGGAAGAAGAAGCAAAAGGAGCCGTAGACCGAGGAACCAAGGCAGAGAACTTTTCGAACGACTTGCAACAGTTGCACTTCAACGGGGTAAGCCAGGATGGGACGCCTCCTAGCCATGATTCTCACTCTGTCGAAGCCGGAGAAGTTGCCGAGCTGGAGTCGGCCAGGAACACTGCAAGCAGTGCTCAGAGAAGTAGCTCCTCCAGTGGTACGACGAGCCCTCAAATGACACAGGAGAGCTCAGCTAAAATTGTGGAAGACAATCACACCATTGCATAAGTTTTTTTGGAGTCTCCTCTCAAATCTCGAGAGTTGCGCAAACTCAGTATCGGTACAGGTATATGGCCCTTCCGCGAAGCAGCTAGGGGGTGCTTTCCGAGCCGTTTGTCTCCGTGCAGTTTAGCACGCCTCCGCAAAATAGAGGATGTAAAGCCGAAGATAGGTGCTACAGTTGCAGGTTTTCTATATGCTATTTGGGATTTACCCAAACTTCAGTATAATGAATTAAATCTTGCACATTTTCGATTCACCCGACCCTTCGAAAACGCTTCCAGGAAGCGACCCGGGAGAAGTGTTTGCAGCGAGCACGCGTCATCGGTAGACTTGTCAGGGTATTTTCCAGCTTGAAGAGCGTAATGTTTAGCCGGAATATCCTCTGCTTCCTGCAGAGCTTCATCTAGCACGTATGCAGTGCAGTCACCGCGAACTCCATCTAGCCATTCAGTTTCATTCCTATAGTGTCTCTTTTTATGTCGACGAACTGTACATGAACAAACGTTTGCGAGCCTGACCTGGCCATACTGCGCCCCTCATTCCACCAGTAGCCAGATAATGAACTTCACAAAGCGCCCAGGCGTGCCCGCATATTGCTCGCTACCGTCCGCAAAATGCAGCAGTATTGACCAGCCGACGGAGCCATCAAAGGTAAGAGCGCTCGATTCTACACTTTTAAGTGCTGTCAGCTTCTTGGGCAGCAAAGAAGAGCTGCGTTTGAATGTTCCACCAATCTTGCACTGAGTTATCGGGCACGCTTCCAGTGGATCTCGCATGTAACTCCAAAACACGCGTTCAGACCGGCGGGAAATTGAATTTACCAACTGGCAGTAATGATGCCACTATCTATTGCCAGTCTATTCTATCGTAGGGTCTCTTCTTCCTCCTCTGAATCGNGGCAGTAATGATGCCACTATCTATTGCCAGTCTATTCTATCGTAGGGTCTCTTCTTCCTCCTCTGAATCGCCGAACATTTCGCTGGAGTGTTCAGGGCTGAACGGTATGCGAGCATTTTGGGGCACCGCCTCACCAACCAAGCGCACCAAACAGCGTCCTTATCAAACATTTCTGTAACGGCTCATCGCAGTGCTTGTTCTCTATCCCAGCAAGAATTTGTGCGGAGCTTCTCACTCAAGGGATGGCAGGACAGGATTCAACCTAAAGGGCCACTGAGTGTTCAACTGCTGTCCCAGTTGATCGTATGCATTGCATGCACGCATCCCAGCGCTGAGCTGAACGGCACATATTTTGTGTGCGGAGTAGTGTTCAGATTGCTCTGCTCTCGTTAAGGAGATCAGAAGGAATGCGAGTTACCAATGTTGCTAGTATTCAAAAGCATGTTAGGCTGTATCAAATAAAACGTTCCTCTTCCCCAGCTTCAATTCATCTGAGCATTCTGCTTGCGTAAATACTGAAATTGNTCAAATAAAACGTTCCTCTTCCCCAGCTTCAATTCATCTGAGCATTCTGCTTGCGTAAATACTGAAATTGTGAACGCAGTGCTGCCAACTGTATCTGTGCCCTAATATTTTGTTAAGCTTTCTTTCTTCTCCAGCCCTCTTTTCAATTAGGCCAACGAAGGTTTTTAATTCATTTTCTTTTTGTTCGGAAAAGGTAATGTGCGTTAATCAACCGAATGCTTCAACTCGTAGAGTCATATTCACCAGCAAAGTCAGCCTGGCCTGGCTGGGCAATTGCAGGAATTTCTGGAGCCCGCTGCTTCCCCTGCTTCTGGATCAGGCTAGATCATTCGTGTTGTTAAAGGTCAAATAAGACCATTGAACATAACATGAGTTTAACGCACCATTGAGTCCATCAGGAGCTCACTTCCTAAGCGGGAAAATATCAGACAAAATGTGAACCTCTTCAAGGTCCGCATCACGCCACCACACATGAACAACAACGGATCTGCGATTGCTGGGAGGTTGGAACTTTGCGATTGAATCGGTAGGTCTCTGGTCTCCCTACCATAGAGCAAAACAACTTAAAGGCCTGATGTTGACTTCATNATTGAATCGGTAGGTCTCTGGTCTCCCTACCATAGAGCAAAACAACTTAAAGGCCTGATGTTGACTTCATGCGTGCGACTAGATGGAAGCGCCCCTTTGCTGAAAGCGCATGCATGGTTATTTCGCTGGTTTGACTCCGAAAGCAGACGGATGGGCCTATGTGCGCTTGGTCAGAGTGGTAGCATATTGGACTAAAACCGAGTTTATCGCAACAACGAGGCAGAAAAACAGCAGTGCATTACTAGCAATGCCAGCCACGCTGCCTACACTACTCGGACGGAAGCCGTTTTGAGCTCCGCGGGGGCAGAGCATACGACCAAGGCAGCACGGCATAGTCCTAGGATCACAAAAGTCTACTGAAGGAAAATTTCCTACACGTTCCATCTTGACGAACCTTGCCTAAACTACTAGGTGTAGCACTATATACCACTGGCACAAGAAAAGGTATGCAGTTTGTCTTAAAAAAGTACAACGCTTCCGAGAATTACCTACTCCACAAAGGAAATACCGCTTCTCCTACACGGAGGAAACTTTCAGTGTAGGTGGATCTAGTCAATTTACATATATTGGGGCTGTGCTGGAGTGGAGGACTGTGCAGCCAGGAAGATGAGCTAAGCTAAGTAGCAGAAATCATCTAGAGCGCCGCGAAGGTCTATGCTGACCTCAATAGGTTAGCGCATATCGTTTCCCTCATAAGAGAACATTCGACACCTACGGCAGTTTATACCACTACAAAAAGTCTTAGTGCGCCGTAGGCTCGGGGAATAACTGAGAACTGAAAAACGTCGTGTGCGTGCTTATGAGGTTTAAAATTAATCAGAGACATACGTCCATCCATCTATAAAGTTCAAAGCGCCATTTGGGCTTCAAAAAATTTTAACTAAAACTCCTCCCACTTACTATTCCGTAAAGAGCCTTGCTAGGAGGTTTGGCCCGGTCTTCAAAGGCTATTTCTGCGTCGCAACCCGGTCGTCATCTCGAAACCCAGCTAAACCCGCCTTATGCTCGTCAGACACTCCGCTGAAGTTCGAGTAGCACGCTACGCCTAGCTTAACGACTGCTACGCAGTAATTTGCATAAAGGCATTGAACCCCCATGGTATATCTGGCTGATGAAGTATAAATAAACTTAGGCGAACAGTGACAGCAATTTCCGAAGGGCACGCGCCTCGCTTGTAAACGAATGATTCGCCTGCACGGCGCACGACAGGGGGCTTCATTTTTCTGCTATGTGCAAGCACTTGAATGCTGGAATTATACAATCAAGAGGTCTTAATCTCATCATCAACTAGACGTTCCACAGCATTGGATTCAATATGATACTCAACAGCCACAATTTCTACAAACATAGGAACCGCTGTACGAACGGCCCCAACAAGGCCTTTAGTGGGTCGTTGCGGGCATTTCATTTCGTATTCGCCTACCCCAATGCACGGGAGGCTTCGTGCCTTTGCTTCGATTCGGAGCAAAACTGCTGCAATGTTTCGCTTAAGCTCATAATCTAGGATAAAGTTTCCTAACGCCACATCGGTCAAAAGCGATCCAATGCAAGCTTTACAGTGCCCCCTGAAAATGCGGCAGTCAATGTCTAGTAGGAGTGCTTTCCGAATATTCTGTTGGCTCTGCACGGGATGCCAACGACAACGTAAACGAGCTGGTTGAGACTCACCATGTGTTCACGTTGAGGGCTCTCTCCATGGGATCTAAGGCCTCCAAAACGCTCCTTACGCCATAGTCATAAGCTTTTTCAGCGCAATACAAGGTGCCCACGATGAGCTTGGCAACGGAAGAATGCGGAATCGAATCATTCCACCCCGATGCGGTTGAGGCATTTCGAACATCGAGCTGCTCACTTGCGTTCAAGAGACTGAAACAAAACCGATAAGGAGTCAGTGGATGAATGTGCTTAGCCAGCAAGACGTGTAGCTGCTCTTCAGTCAAGTAACTGTAGCTAGTGTATGACATCCTCAACACGCGTGGCTTACATGGACTACGGAATCTCTCATAAATGGGTCATGCAATTGAACTGCTTTCCAGACAGAAACACACTTGAGAAGCTGTTGAGCTTGATCTATATGCCCTAGAAGGATGTTCGCAGCCAATGCATTCGTCAAAGCAACAACTTCCCACCCTTGAAGCGCCCGTCCGCATACGTCCGTTCGAACGCCGTCTTCATAAAACGAGAGGCACTTGTCATATTTTTTCTGCGTAAGCAAGAGTTTGCGTAGCACCTATTTGAAGCGCAGGCCACTATTAAATCTGTTCAAAGCAACGGAAATCCCTTATTCCTACCTGCATGAAGAGAATGTGCCCCATGTTAATCTTCCAGTAATTGCTGTCACCGCACATGCTTCCATACGAACCGAGCAGCCTGTAGAAAATCGTTGGACAGTGTGCTTATACCGTTTGATTGGGTCGCTGTGGTAGCATCCACTCAGCTGCATATAATTCTGGATATTCAATAGTCACCTTCAGCAAGATTCATGCCTTTTCTTTGGCAGACTCACGCTTCTGCTTTAGACAGCTTCCCGTCCGCAATATACGATTCAGCCAGTGTCACTAACACCTATGCAGCATCACGCCGAACACAGGAGAGGAACGTTGTGAAAGCCTCCGAAATTCACCAGTCTACACACAACAGCAAATCTCGTCAAAGCGCCTACCGGGATCAAAGTGTCGATGTATTCTTGAAGTGCAGTTGAGGCGCTCCTTTCGACTACGCTTGTTGTACAGCATGTTGCGGATATCTCCTAAGCCCAGCGCAAGCGCATTGAGGTGAAATAGTTATCGATCAGGTGAAGTAGACGTCCCCAAGGACTTTCGCCTTGCTATCTAAAGGACGACGAGTTCGCATCGACAATAAAAGAGCAACGCTCTTTTATTGTCGATGCGAACTCTTGACCAACGCTTGACAACTTTTGTTGCGCTGGCGTTACTGATATGTGAAAACAAAGGCGTACTGCATGTCCTTTCCAGGCACGGAGTTGTTCTCTCATCTGCTCTTCGAGTGCTGCGAGGCGTTTTTGAGCCTCCAAGGGAGCAGAATGAATCTGTCAATGAATGCATTCAGTTCCACATCCAGATCCTTTGACCATCATAGACCATATCCTCTGCAATCTAGGATGATAGAGCTGAACAGATGCCTCGCGTCGGCTTACCAGCATAAAGTTCCGCAAGAACTCTGTTTCGCATTCATTCAGGTCACCAAGATTAACTTCTCCAAATGAAGCCTATGCAGCGGCAAAAAAGCGAATAGTGGCTGCGGCAAGTGGTTCAGAAAGCATGCAGGCAATAATCTCAACGTGCTGAGGATGAGGCTGTCCCTACGCCAAGAGGATTAATACATTTCATCTGGTGAGCTTTTCGAATTCATTATCTCTGCAGCTAGTATGCAGCTTTAGTCTCCTGCCTCTACTCTTGTAGCCACTCGCCAACAATATAGATTTGCAAGGACATGCTGGGTAGAAAGCATGTGCACTGACAGTCTTTAGGTGTTCAATAGCGCCCTACTACGAACGTCTGGTGGAAAACTTACCGCAAGTTTTTCAGCTGCTTCAAAGTGTCCGTATCTAAAGAAGAACACAAACATATTGTAAATATCCTACAAGCTGATATGTGTGTTGCAACCCTTCTCAAAGTACTTACTGGCAAGACGCCAAAGCAAAGACTTCAAAAACACTACCTGAGTAGGTGTTGATTTGACAGTTTTGCTTTGACGGCACTTGTAGGGACAACTGACTTGCAATACAGAATGAGAAGGTTTGCCACAGTTGTCTTAGGGGCGAACCGCTCATCAAGAAGGCTTGCGAGTATTCTAATGCTCTCTGTTGGATCGGTGGTAGCAAGGCTTAGCGCCTGGTTATGAAGTGTCACGTAGTCGGTTCCTGCCAGTTCGAAACTTCACTAAGTAGCTTCATCTTTGTTTCTGTTTCTCCATCGCATGCCAGCAAGTATAAGCAACGCCAATTCTTAAATGCACCATGTTTCTGCTGGTGTGCCTTAGTGGAAGACCTTTGGCTTTACCGTACCCAAGGCAGCCTTTGTCGTCGCGGTGCTTGAAGACAACAAAAGCAAGTGTTCATTTGCAGTACGCAAACGGCCTTGAAGAATATCCACAGCGCAACAGAGATTAGCTGCCGCCACCTGTAATGACGTTACCAAAACAGACAAATCCGGTGCCACTAAATGGCCTTGTCAGTGTGCAGCTTTGGTTGTGAGGACTCTATGGCACACAATTTACACGCTTGCAGCGCACTGCCCAGTTGACCAACCAGAACTTTCCCGGTAGTAGATTGACCGTCAAAGTTCGTTGTTGGGGAGCTCTTATGAGCAGCTAGCATATGCTGAGTTTCTGCCATTCCTGCAACAAACTCGGTTTGGTTCCCGTAGCAGACCGAAACAATCCCTCCAGCAATCCTCGCCGCCGCCTCCCTTTCTCCTGACTGGTCACAAGGCGCATAGATCTGATGATCCATAGTTGACATCACTGGGCTGCCGTGTTCTGTGGAACTATACTCGCAGAAACAGTAGATCAAATTGACGAAATGGCCGGGGCTCCAGGAGTATAGTATCTAGTGGAGCATGCCTTATAAGCGCATAAAGCCTCGTTATAGGCAAGGCTCGGACTCCATCCATTTTCAACATTCGCTGCAGCAGCCACTCTACGACCTTCTTCAAAGCTCCCGCTTCGATAAAGGGCTGCTGATTCAAACAGTGCTGCCTCGACTGGTGTAAGTGCACCCTTCGTGCGCCGTGCTGCAGGCCGACCGCAAGAACACCAATATTTTCGTATGGCCTACGACTTTGACTGAAAGGTAGCAAGGCCCAGCGGATGGCTGAAGCGCCAATTGAAATTACATGGCATACTTTCGTCTCCGCTCGCTTTGGCTTTACAAATGCTCTGGGGCGCTGCGTTAGGGACGCGCGTGGAACGGCGCGGAGGATAAATGCCCGCTGCGACCAGGTTCTGTCTCAAGGTGACGCTGACAACAGGATGTTTCCCGCATATGGCGCTCTTGATGGAGCAGTATGTTGCGTATAGCTGCCAAGGAAGCCAACACAAGCGCGTTAAGCGTGGAGAAACGTCTTGAAGAGGGGGCTGTGCACTGCCTTCGTGGGAAAAGCAGAGCATTATCAACTAGAAGATGCCGTACCTGATATTCCCCAACGGCTGGGAATACTTCAAACAACTGGTTGTAAACTTCCCCTGCCGCTTCAAAGTCCTCTGCCATATATAAGCAGTATCCAAGGATTGGGAGCAAAGAATAGCACAGCTTCTGATCAGCAGGGTTTGAACGGCTATGCAAGAGATCCATTAGAAGAGCAACGGCCCCATGGAATTGCTGCTCGCCTACCAACTTATACAATCGCTCCGTCAGCGTCCCATCCGGAAGAGTTGTCTGGGTGATCATTGTGATATAGGCTTACAGACGGTAGAACAACGCTGCGATAACGGCTGCCTGCAGCATACGCGGGTGAACATCATGTAGGCAAACTGGCGCATGCTATAGTCCACATAAGTATAGAAGCCCAACCTATTAATCCCAAACCTATTAATGGGGAGACTTCGAGCCATTGTGTTCATATATATACTCAATTTTGTAGGTCTTTGCTCACAAAGCCACTTTGTTTGCATCGATTTGGACCGTAATGGCGGTTGGCCTAGCTGTGAAACAGGAAATGCTGCGTCTCCTGCCCACCGCAACCCTCAACACTCTGGTGTGATGGGTGCCTAGGGAGCCGGAGGTCTGACCGGCAAACCTGGTGGGCGGGATCGTATACCGTGTGTGTAGAGCCAAGGAAGGGACTTTGACATATTTGGATGTAATACCTACGCTTGAATGCAAAAAAACCGGGTAATTCGGTCAGTGTTGAGTGGTCTAAAGTATCGTAGCCTATAAAGGGAACGGGTGTAGTCCCGTTCGAGTTGGCACACCATGCGTAACCTATGGTGCACTTCTGGGTATCCGCCCTCTTTCAGGTGAAACCAAGTTCCCTAAAATCAGAATAAAGACAAAATATATTATAGGAACACTGTTTAGCTTCCATGCACAGCTCGCTGTAGACACAACACGGAGGTCTCAAAGCGTCGCTAGGAACTGGCTGCATTGCCCGCTGGATGTGACCTCGGGGCTGGACAGCGGCTACATCAGCCCTTCTACGCATAACTACAATTATCGCGTACTTATTGTGTCCCAGTTTCCATGCTGCTCTTTTTTCATATTTAGTTTTCATTGAGCTTGGGCATCGCCTTCGTCAGAGCTTTGAGAGGGAGTTGACGCTTCTGACCTGCGTGTGAGTAGGCCTCGAAAAGCTAACATCCAGGTCCACTGCTTCCCCTGAATCTCGAGGGAGAAACGGCTATGTAAATTTCAGAGCCAAATTTTGTGGTGGTCTGAGACGTGGGTGCCTCTCTAGCTTCTTCTAAGCCGGTTTTCGGCCGTTACTCGGGATTCCCACGTGCAGCCAAGCAAGTTCGACTATCAAGCACGTTAATCCTTACCTTCCCGTTGTAACAAGAGGCGTTTTCATTGAGCATGCTAGCTTGATAAAGGAGTGTGTGCCCGATTTTCTAACATATATTGGAGTAAGTTTAAATAGGAAGACTCACACGCAATTTACGTTCCGTTTTGAAAACTGCCAACGAGTCAGCCACCCTGTAGATATTTGGCTCAGTCGCAGCAGCAGAACCTGCGAACGGGAGCGCTGCTGACGGCACAGCAAAAGTGATCGGTACTAAACCTCCAAATTGGAAACAAATAGAATAGTACGTTTCTAGTACCGATACCGATCACTTTTGCTGTGCCGGAGCTCTTTAATCTGCAGACTGCTTTGTAATCACCCTTCACTGCCTCAGTAACCGTTTCCTCCCAACAATGCAATACCCGGGAAGCTCCGAAGTCTCACAGGGTGCACAAGGCTCCATCTTAACGCCCACAAGCGGATCAGGGGTGAAGCACCGGCTTCGGGAAATTGAGTGCATTATTGATTCCGAACTCAAAGCGCTTCAGAGGCAGGTGCAACAGTTAAAATCCCAGAAAATTGTTCAAGTAAGCACCGAAATTCCCGTCCTACTCCTTATTTGATCAGATGTTGGAAATTCAGCCAATAACTATCGTCTCTTCCTATGGCCCTTCCACTAGAAAAAGGCGGCTTCTGTTCTGCGTTTCTTGCTCAGACGGGCCGAACAGAGGAAGTTGTGCAAGAAGCGAAGGAGGAAATTTTGGCTGCGCTGCAGCAGTCAAAAAAGGAGCTGAAACAATTTTTTCTCCAGCAAAAAACTGAAAATCAGCGTCTGCACGAGATGATTCGAGCTCTTCGAAACGAAAATTTCGCTCTGCAACAGAGCCAGCTAGCGCTTCAGCGCCGGCTGCAAACAGTGGAAGTAGATTTGGGACAGTAACCAGTATCCTCTTCAAAGGCCGAGCAGTGCCATAAGAATTCGTTTGCACAACGGCATTTTCGAATGATCGTTACCGAAAAACCAGGACCTCCGTTTTCTGTTCGACTTAGTGTTGAGAAATAGCTGCACCTTCCCTGTGGTGTTGCAAGATCAACAGGCATCGTTCAGCCGCACTGTCGTCAGCCTCAAAGGAATTTACCTTACCCATGCAACGAGCAGCAAAAAAAGTAAGAGTGAGTACCTTAACTCGAGCTAGGCTAAACTGCCCGGCCTTCCACAGCTATTCTCCCTGAGGATGCTTTTTTGGGGGGGAGAGAAAACTCTACGTTCTGTATTGTTATCAGATTAGATCAGGGCATTCTCGGGTTGCACACGCAGATTACTCATACCGATTCACAACACAAGGTCAACACACTCCCCACCCCGGATTGGACTTGTTTGAGTACCATGCAGCATCACTGGGTGCAGCCAGTAAAACCACCGGTAGGTGCAACGAGACTACGGTATAGGCTTGAAAAGCTCGCGCCAAACGTGTACATTCCCTCTGTGGCAATAACGAATGCTCTATGTTCACGGTGAGCCTCAGGGTGCTGGCTCGTTATACATATTCATACCCGAATTGGCTTTGAGGATGAAATTGCAAATACTTCTGAGAAAAAAATATTGTGGAGTTCCTCCCGTGGCAGGTCTGATTTGCAGCAATGAAATATTCAGCCACATCAATAGAAATACAGTGAATAGTACGTACAGTAAAATATGAACCTGACTGGACGGATTAGAATCCTAGTGATCAGAGAGGTAGCTCACCCGAAATCGCAGCCGCGGTAGAAGTATGCTGGAGAGACGATAATGCGCTACGCTCACCGGTGCAACCCCTGCTATGAATAAACAGAGATCAAACTGGATGGCTTTGATGTTCAATATTCGTAGAAACCTAGAGAAAAACAATGTTTTCAGGTTCGCGACCGCAGGACTCGTAGGTCCCTATGGAGACTCCCTGAGAGTATCTTGACCTCCAGTTCACAATTACGGCCGTATGGGAAAATCCTGCATGGCAGCCAAGCTAGATGGAGTTTGGGGCCTTAGGGATAATAAGGCCCTCGGAACTGGACCCCACTCTCATTAGTGGGTGCAACAAAACAATGTGCACAGCTTAGTGTCTTGTGCCCAAAGCGAGAACAGAAACGCAAACACAGGTACAAGTTCCAGGAGAGCTACGAGTTCCCTCAGCAGGTGGGGTGTTGCGGAGCAGTAACAATGGAGGCAGTGATGGGGGGCATGCAGGCCGTGGGGGGGGGTAAGGAAGCTGATGATGCGTGGGCTGAACCCTCATTCTCTCCCTTCTTATACCGGATTTCGTTCACCCTAATAAAGAATACTGCACTTAGATGTAGTGTTTTGAATAAACATGAGTCTGTGAAAGCCTGTTCCTCTGAAAGTCAAAAGCATGCCTCGCTCCTGAGTAGAACGGGCCAGCGGGCATAAGCTGACTGAGACCCTCAAGTAACCTCACAGGTGCTTCAAGCAGCTCAAATGATTCGGCAAACAATACACGCTAGCGAGGCTAGAGAAAGTTCCTTCTGTTGCTCTCCTCTCTATAGTTGTTTAGCCCTCGTCTCCGCTAGACCCTGCATTGCTGCCCTAGGGATGGGGAGAGGAGACGGGCTGGGCTCTCCCAATAGCTTCTGCATAACGTATCGTTTAGTCAAAACCGTACATCCCTTTGTAAACAATATCTAATACACTCATTAAGTACTTAGTCAATAAATATCAATATGCACTTGCATAAACTTCCATTGTTCAACTAACCCCGATTCTTCCACGGTGAGCACGCCAGTGGTGCCATTACTGTACAGACTATTCAGTACAGTGCGACGCTTGCACACTCCGGAAAATGGTAGGACCTGCCGATGGTGGCGGAAGTTGAACGGGAATCCACTCCCAAGAATTACAGTCTGCTGACAGAAATATAACCTGAAGCAGAATGTTTAGCTAGCTGAGCACGAATTAGATACGTGCTTCTAGCGGAGCTAAAGGAACACCTACATTAAAGTGCCGACGGACTGCAAGCTGAGTGCGGAATATAAACTCTACGAGATCAGCGTAGCTGCTTCGTAGAATACGCAAAATGATAGGATATGGCGTAGCGATGTTAAATCTCACTGCGAGGGATATTAAGCAGGTTCAAAGAGAACAACTGGTTGGCGGTGCGATTCCATCGACCATGCAACCGGCTAATTGCCATAGGGCAACTTGCGTTTCCAACCGAACAGGCTATGGCGTCAGCAGCCAACGAGCTCTGCCGCCTCACAAGACGGAGGGCAAAACTAATATGGTGGGAGTAAGCATGTAACGGACGATCGTTGGTTGGGGCTATTCAGACCACTCGCAGTTGCACGCCGGATACGCCGCTTCCCCACCGCAGGGAACAGCTGACCGGTGCTACTGAGTCTACATATCCAGAGCCAGAGACTGAAGGCAGCGCATGAGGAGTAGTCTGAGGAGCGAAATCCCGGTAATTGCCTTACGCTAACAGGATGCAACCTGCTGCACGCCGTCCAACAACAGCTCCTTGTGGTAACTCAGGCAGGACAGGTCTAGCTTGGAGTAGCACCGTAGGATTAAAAATTGCCCAGCAATCTTGCTTCGTTGGCGGGCTAATTTTCCGTTTCTTTGATGCCGTTCATCCCATGCTGGGGCTCGAACAGAGATGGCAAGCGGTGTTTTCGAACGACTCGGATCACACTTATAGGGAGTACACGCGAGAATAATTACTCCACTGAGACTTCGAGGAATATTTATCGATTTTAACCTGGCTCGGCCACTATAGCTAACGAAATGCATGAAATGTCATCAGACGCCGGCGTAAACAGGAAGAACTGAACAAGCAAATTGACTTTTCAGCGATTCCAGTGAACTGCGGTTCAGCATGACGCAGAAATGAGCAGTTCAGTTTCTTGTCCGCGTGTCAGACTCTGAGTTAGCTGTTTGGGGTCTCGTGTCCAGCTTCACGCACAGTACATCCCTCACTTGCGATCCCTGCAATCGAGCATTCAAAGTTCGTTAGCAGAATATTCCGGTCAACAGGTGCTCAACCAAAAGTACCAATGTCTGATGGACCCATTTTCAGTTGCCGGTACAGCGGAACATTTCAGGTGTACTCGCGATGGCCGGGTCATCCCCCAGGCCTAAACTGTCTGCGCGTGCTATAACGGTATTCGAGACAGCGGTCTATCCAGACACATATGACAGCGCACCCGTGTTGAAGCTCAAAATCAGCAACGGGAAATACCTGTTGTACGCTATATGCATGTTAAGCCTAGCTGCGCTTTCCAGTCCTTGAGCGCTCCTGCGCAGACAGGCGGGTCGCTGCTCTTGCAAATTCAGACGATTCCTTTCATCCACAAGTCTAGCTCTATAACCATTTCTTAGCTCTATTCTCGCTTCCCCCATAGGCTGCTTTAGATAGGGCGAATGTCACTGAGACTTGCGGCCTACAAACACGGATTCTTATCAAACGAATCTGTTGAATGGGTCGCAGGTAGTAGTACGTGCAATGTGTTGGTTGCAAGGGCTTGCCTGCTCACAGTTTCCCTTTCCAAACCGCGTTTCCAGGGGGAAGGGGCCTACTAAACAGCGACTAAGCCGGCATTTCGACTGGTCTTCAGCACTGGGTAGCTCAGCCCGCGTGTTAATATTTTTAAACACCGAGAATAGCCAATCAGTAGATGGCAGTGAAGTGCTATGCTCAATTTAAAAGGCCCTTTTTAACCAAGATTTGAAGCCCACACAGAAGTTAATATCCAAACACCCCTGCGCATTCACGATGTTCCATTCCTCCATGCAGGGTTTACGGAGCGAGCCACTGGGTGATACCAGTGGAGCGGATGCAGTGGAACGCAGAGCCAGAAGTTAGGAATGCTAGTTCATGAATACACGGCTTGACTCTACAAGCAGTCTAGCGCTTGCTGTGAGAAACTCCCCTTCAGATACGCCAGTCTAAAGGGAGCTCGGGGCCTTAGGGACCATGTGGCCCTCGGAACCTGATCCCACTCACGTGAGTAGATGCACTAGTTCCGTGCAGCCGTTCTGCGTCTTGTGCCCCCAACGACAACACAAACGCAGATGAAGAACACAACTGTGATGCGTAGAAGGGATCCAAGTTCGCTCACACGATGGGGTGATGGGATTCCATAACACTCTAGGTACTGCAGG